CACAAAGCTAATGGCGGCCGGATTCATCAGAGAAATCCTTCATCCAGATTAGCTAGCAAATCCGGTTCTAGTACAAAAGAAGAATACAAACGAGTGGCGATAATAAAGGCCGACTATCTGATCTCAACAAAACACCGCCCAAAAGATCCATTTGGGTTACCGCATTGATCGAGATAGTTGACTCAACGGCCAGGATCTCGCCCTATTATCCTTTCGTTGATTGCTATTGAGATATCACCAAATTGCTTTAAAAGAAGAAGACCAGAGCAAGACATCTTTCATCACTCCATTCGGTGCCTACTGCTACAAGACCATGTCGTTTGGACTCAAGAATGCTGGTGCCACTTACCAAAGAGCTATCCAGATGTGCCTTGGTGAATGATCGGCGAGAACGTGGAGGCATACGTGGATGACGTAGTAGTGAAAACAAAGAACCCGACACACTTATTGAAGACTTAAAGCAAACCTTGAAAAACACGAAAAGGTGGAGATGAAAATTGAACCCAAGCAAGTGTGTATTCGGAGTTCCTTGAGGGACAACTACTCGGATTCTTGGTCACCATCGTGGAATCGAAGCCGGCGTAAACAAATTCAAGCCATAACAGAGATGGGACCCCCTCGGCGCGTCAAAGATGTGCGAAACTAACAGTGCATGGCGGCCCTCAATCGCTTCTTCATATCAAGACTCGTGAAAAAGGATTACCTTTCTTTAAACTACTAAAGAAGATGACAAGTTCAAGTGGATAGAGGAAGCCAACGAACCTTTCAAAAGACTTAAAGCATATCTCACATCATCGCCCGTTCTCACGCCACCAAAGAAATACGAAGACATGATGCTATACATTGCGACTACTTCTACGGTGATCAAAGACAAATGATAGTCGTGGAAAGAGAAGAAGAAGGGCGCAGATATAAAGTACAACGCCAGATACTACATCAAGTAAGTCTTGTCGAATAAAAATCCGGTACCCGCTTGTGCAAAAGCTACTCACGCTCTCCTAATCACTTCACGCAAGCTACGTCACTATTTTGAAAGCCACAAGATTACCGTGGTGACGGACTTCCCACCCTGAGACATCCTACACACATGAGAGATGCAAAAGGGCTCATATCTAAATGGGCCGTTGAACTTGGAGCTCTCAATATCGATTTCACCCCACGGAAGGCAATTAAATCCCAAGCACTTTCTGATTTTGTGGCCGAGTGGATGAATTCAACAACCTATGTCAAACACCATCCTTGACCATTGGAAGATGTACTTTGATGGGTCGCTCAAGCTTAGGCGGAGCCGAGTGGCGTTCTCTTAATTTCTCCAGACGGAAAATAACTCAAGTATGTCCTTCAAATATTATGGCAAGCTACAAACAATGAAGCAGTAGTACTGAAGCCCTCATCCACGGGCTCCAAGTGGCAATTACCCTCGTAATCAAGCGATTGCTCATGTAACGGAGATTCGACAAGAGTCATCAACCAAGTCAACAAAGATTGGGAATGCACCAAAGAAA